AAGCTGGTTAGCGTCTTTTTTAGCAGATTTATTTTAAAAAGAAAGGTCCAATTAAAAATTAAAAAAAATATTGGCCTATCATCTTTGCAGTTGTTGCCACAATTTGGTGTTGGGGAGGGAACTGCAGAGCTCTTCATAGTAATTATTCTAAATTTGGCAAGTTACGAGCATTAGAAAATTGCCTGAAGTGCAGCAGTTAGTTTTTGTTGGTGGAATATGCAGATTTAAGGAGAATACAATTAGCAAGGTGGTACCCTCAAAATTTTGAGATTGAAAAGAGGTGATCTTCCCCTGTCTGCCTGTTTCAAACAGAACATCCTATGTTGTTTTGTTTTCGTTGTGCCTACCTCAAGAAAAGCAAGATTTGACACGTCCTAATTTTAATGATGTCCGGAAGCAGCACATTTATCCAGAAAGAGCAAATCCTGCTCCTGTACAGCAAAGATGGTGTGGAGGTGCTGCTGGACAGGTGGAGCAAGTGCAGTTCAGTGTGCCAGGCATGGGAGCATGATTCCCACCAGCACCACCACTGTCCAGCACAATTCCAGCAGTTCTTATATGAACAGGCATTCTGGCACAATTACTCGTGTTTCCCACATCACAGTCCATAGATACTGCACAAAGAGGATTTTAGAAGAAGGCTCCTCTTTCAGGTGAACAAACATGAGAGATTAAGTTATTTGTGTTGCAGCACAACTGAAACATCCTAAGGCAAACAGTAACTCCTCCTGCAAAACCTTGCTGTTGAACTTAACAAAATACATTTTTTTGCTCCAAAAAAGAGTGTGATTTGCTCCAAAAAAGAGAGTGACACAGACATGTAATGAGAAGGAAAAAGAAAAATTGTTGTGATCTTGAGGCTAGATAGGAAGACAATAATTTGTTATCTAAATTTTTTTTTTAATTGCAAGCTACTATTTTGTACACTGTAGAAATGCTTTCAGTATTTTCTTATCGAGACATAGAAGTATTATAAGTTTTCTCTTATAGCCAAACTCAATTTCCTTATAGTTGTATGGAAATTTTCAGGAATTTAAATTATCTAAGGTTTACAACTGAATGAAGAAAACACTGGTTTTTAATCCACACTTTTGAACTATATTGCATCAATGCACACAGAAAAAAATAAATTCAGGTACACTTTCAGCCTGTGCATCTAAATAGATGCCTTTACTGTGAGATCTGATTTTTTCAAAAGAAATGCTTTATTGTTAATTCACAATATTATTTTCCCATGAAATTTTTATGCCTTTGCTTTAGAAAAATATGTCACTTAATCTGCAGTTCAGCTTTGTGTTGATTTCCAAATAAATAAGCAAGTATTTAGAAAGCAAAGGAGAGCTATCCTTCAGAGTATAAAGCTGCAAAGAGAAAAGGTGGTGGGTGAGCTTGAGGCAACTTGAGGCCTCAGTGATAAGTCTTCATTCAGAAGATACTAATTTTTGATCTATTTTCTTAAATCTTTGCTGTAACTCTGTGTGGCCATATTAATGATTTGATCTATTTTCTTAAATCTTTGCTCTATTTTCTTAAATGTTTGCTGTAACTGTGTGGCCATCTTAATGCTACCAAATGCCATATTGTTAGTGCCAGAGGCAAGCTAATAAATCCAGGTTAGATCCCCTTCTTCTGTCTTAAATCATACAGATGCTATTATGAGTAGTTGACACATTTTCCTTGATCCTGCTTGAGGCAATGGACGGTTGAACTGATTCAAATAGCTTTTAAGCAGACATTCCATCATTTTACAGAGCTTTGGTTTGGAATTCTTTACCAGCTGCCAGTCTGTCTAACATTTGCTTAATTTCAAGGGGGAAAACAGCGTCCTCTTTTTTTTCTTCTTCTTTAAGGGATTTTTTCCTTTTTTTTTTTTTTTTTTTTTCTGGAAAACTTCCAACTTCCATCAGAGTTATGTGATTAGTAACTTTTTGTACCATTTTTCAATTACATCAATAGTTACAATCTCTAACCAATTCATGTCACCTACTGTAGATTTTGATTCACATTAGGACTGCCCTGTAGTAACATTTGTTTCCTGCAGAATTGCTGAAGCTAATGCTGACTGGCAGCTAGAGAAAGCTGTTTCTTTGCTTTGATGTGTAGACCTCAGGTTTTTTCCAAGATGTTTTTTTTAAATCTCATACCATGATAGGTACAATTTCTCATCACCAGGTGTATCACAGATGCATCACACGTGTTGACTGCATAAAACATTACAGTGAAATGGAGGTGGATCAGCAGACTATAATCCAGTGTTTTTAAAGTCTAGGTAAGGGGAGAACCATTACTAGAGAGAAAATGTGTGCATCCATCTGACTAAAACATTATCTAACTACTTTCACTTAGCATGGTTTTGTTATTACTGTTATTACGACAAAAACAGTCTTGACTGCTCCATCATGTCAGTTTGTGTGTGTGTGTGTGTACATGTAAATGTATCTAAAGAGCAAATGAATGTATTTTATTTAAGGGTTTTGGCACTATGCAAACAACATAAGTCACAAAAAATACAGTAAATAAGCACAATTACCCATTCAGATTATTCATTACTCAAAACCAGTCCCTGAGGTCTGTGACATAAAGCCTGACCTTTTGGCTCTTGGTAAGAGCAGGGCTGCAAGAGGTCCAGTGCTATCCTGCAAATCAAGTCCAGTCAAGGAGCAGGACGTGGTGGCTCTGCCTGTTCCTTGCCTTTGGCTCTGGTTTTTGCAGTGATGACTCCAGTCGTGGGTGGTAGTCTGCTTGTGTGTTGTTTCTTACTGAGAGCCTTTCTGTCATCTTAGAAGCAATGTGTGCAGTGGGAGCTAATATGTTGTCCATGGATTTTCCTTCTCCCTTCTCCATCACCACTGACAGTGGTTCCCATCACGTTGGCCCTATTCTGGGAACTTCTTGTACCCCTTTTCCTTTATGGCTCATGTCTAGGCCATCTTACTACATCTTCCCTCTCAGTGTGTCCAAGTCCCCCATAATTCTGTGATCCCAAAGATCAGTTTTTCTTTGGCTTCACTAAATGCCTGGGAGATGGTTCACCTGCTCTGGACAGGGGTACAGGTTCTTTGAAGCAAGTTCTGTGTTTGGCCCTGCCTGTTTATCAAACACTTCACTCAACATGCACAGGTGATGATTTTAGAGCTTGGCTCTCTCACCCATTTAGCTTCTTTTGGCACAACTAACAACCTCTTCATTTCTGTACTCTCTGTTCTTCTCTGCAAAGCATTTACACACTCTGTATTCTCAAGTTCCTCAGAGACCTGCTCCTGTAGCAGTTCAGCTCCCAGTCACTGAGGTGTCTTGACTTGGACAGAAGTTTAAAATGTCAGAACACTTTATTTTCTAATGAAATATTCAGGCTACTCTTTGAGCAGCTGTAGTCTTAGATAACTTTACTGTTGTTGCAATTTCTCAGTTTTCTGTTGAGAAAAAATTATTTTTCATGGACAACACAAGATAAGCTACATACAACCTACAGGGGGTGTGTGTGGGAGGGGTTTTTCTACATAAATATTCATGTTAGTTTAAAAAATAAGAGGTATTCAGAAAAATGTTTCCAGACTGAAGCAGCCTTTTTCAGCTGAAAATAAAACAATTTAAAACACTGGTTTAGAATTCCTAAAGCATGTTTAAATTATTTTAATTCCTTTAAACACTTTGATTAGTAAACCTGCAATTTTTAAATGAATTATTAGCTTTTTTTTTTTTTTTTTTTGTTCAAATAAGATAGTTCAGGTAAATCCAAATTTAGTCTGTCTTTACTTTCCAAGATATGTAAAAAGACTGTTTGCATTTCTCTAAAATAAAATACTTTTTTAAATCTGAAATTGCTACTGCAACGAAGAACTGCTTTTTGCTTGACTATTTTTTTTGTGTTATCTGTCTTAATATTTGGAAAACTCCTCCACACTTATGATACTGATTAAAATAATAACTTAAAAGTATACTTTAAAAAAAAGAAATCTCTGTGCTGAAATGCTTTGAATGTTTGTGTTTTAAAAGCCTTTTCTTTCCAATGTGTTCTCAGCAAAACTCCATCATATTTCTCAGTATCAATGTACCCACAGCTGCATGTAACCCTCCTTCGTTTTTCCCCATGTAGTCATCAGGCTCTTAGCTCTGTGAATTAGTGTGATGTAGAGATGCTACTGATAATTTGCTTTTTTGTTGGCGCAGTCAGGCTTGTTGTGAACGTGGCTGAAAGAGCTACATAACACCCATCAGGTGCCTAAATGTTAGCACAAGAACACTAAAATATCAACACCTCAACAAATAAAAAGCTCAGTACAAAATGCCTGTAATATACTTTCTTTTTTAGGCGTTAGAGCCTGTTTCCCATTAGCCATTAGTATCAGTTTAGCAATGTTGCTGTCACTTTCTCAGTTGAGGAGAAACATCTGTCTACATCTGTGCATCATTTGTCAATGGAAAATGAGTCCCAGTGCATTCTTATAAAATCAAACAAATTGTTTTTGAGGGGCTGCTGGTTGGCTGGTATTGGAAAAATTAGGATCAATGAAGTTACTGGAGAGAGTAAAGTGCAAAGCAGATGAGTGGAAGAAGATTTTTGTCCTGCACAGAACTTTAAGCCAGCTGGGTTTCCTTCTCCACAGACTGAATAGGAAGGCAGATTACCATTCTTCCAAGCTGACATAGTGACCATTATCTGCATGTAAAAAAAAAAACTGGAGTGCAAGTCACTGGATTTCGAGTTTAAAAAATAAAAAAAAATGGTAACAAGTGTAGACACAAAGAGAAGAGTCTGTGTGTTGTTCTGTGGTGGTCATGGTTTTAAAACTGCACAATATCCTGAAGTTGTGTGAGAGTTTTTCCCTTTGCAGGCTGTTGGGCCTGCAGGAGTAGTGAGAAGAGAAGAAAAGATAGTGACTGTAAAGATGTTATGAAGGGAGTTGAATATCTCTGAGGACTCTCAGAGAACACAATCAGAAATGTCAGGAGGCTACATGGGGGTTTGCATTTTGTTTCCCTTAACTATTGGTGTTCAGATATTGATCAGTGGAATAAAGTTATTGAGCAGCTGGGAACACCCTGTCCAGAATTCATGAAGAAGCTGCAGCCAACAGTACGGAACTACGTTGAGAACAGACCCAAGTATGCTGGCCTCACTTTCCCCAAACTTTTTCCAGACTCTCTCTTCCCAGCGGACTCAGAACACAACAAACTCAAAGGTATGTCTGATGTGATTCACATGCAACATCTGCAGTGGAATTTTTCCAATTTTTCTTCTCTCTAGTTGCACTCCATTTAATGCACTTAGTTGCAGTCCAGTGACTGCATGGGTTTTGCTCAGCTGAGAGGCAGGCTTTGGAAATGGTTTTTGGAGATCCTGGTGCTTGGGCAGCCAAGGGAACATAATCACTGATGCACTGAGAATATTCTCATGGTGTTCCATGTGATGATCCTGTGCCTCAAGGAATTGAGGTGTTCCCTTACTCTTATTCTTGAATTTTTAACAAAACAGAACAATCGAAATTCCATTGGGAGACCTCAGTACTTGCACTGGGTTTTTTTAGTTGAAAAATACCAGTTCAGCCAAATGCCTGCCTCATAGTTCTACCTTTACTAGAAAATTCAAATATGTTATCAACATCAGCCAAAATGAAGCAGCCGAGGTTTAGTATCCACTGGGGTGGATTTCTTCTTGTGAAAAATCCTGTGGGTCACTTAAGATATGTGAAGTAGAAAATTAACTTACTTACAATGTGATTAGATATCCCCCTGTAGAAGAAAAAATGCCATGATTTTAATCATATATTGAAGTATTTTTTTCACTTGAATGGGGCATTGACCTTCAGTGGGAAAGAGTGATTATTGTGTGTTTAGTACGCAGCCCTGGAGCCCCTGCAGACCTGAGCTGTGTGCTGGCTCTGCACCACTCCAGTCCTTGGAGCCACTCACCACACTGGCACTTAATGGTTTTCAGTTGCTTGCAATTTGCATGTCATTACACAACCCTGAATTTTCTTGCAGTTAACAACTGCTTCATAGCCAAGCTGCTGTCCTGGCTCTGGAAATAAAGGGAGAGGTCTGGGCAGATGCTTTTGGATACACAGAATTTTATACTCCTACCACAACATAATTGAATAATGGAATTTTCCTGCATTCACAGCTAATGAATAAAAATGACTGTCAAACAGTGCTGTTATCTTTTGCATACAGAAAGCACATACATTTGAGCATCCTGAATGCCAGTTTTGAAAATATAGCCACAAAACAAGAAACAGTGCATTCAGGATCTCCTACTTGTGAATCCCATGCCCTGCCTAAATATAATGTAATATTAATGGTTTAATTAGATACTCATCCATATATGATGAGATACCTAATAATATCTTTGCAACTTTTTTCCTTTCATTGTCTTCTTCACTTACGCAGCAAATAATTTTGACCATCCAAGAGCTTAGAACACTACATAGTTAATAATAATAATAACAGAAATATATGTTGTTATATTTTTTCGTGTGGGTTAAGATGGTATTATATTTTTTACAAACTCCAACTAGGAAAAATCCATTTGGGTAACATAAAGCTGAGTTTGTGCCTTTGTTGTGGCATTGTTTGTCTGATAGGCAATGGACAATAGACAATGGAATATATTATCAGGTAAAATAAATCAATGCTGCAATGTAAAATTCAATGTTTATATATATATATATATATATATATATATATACATATGTATGTATGTATATATAGTGCAGGATGATGTGCCCCACTGATTTAAATTTCATTATGCAGGACAAACAAGACTCAAGCAGTTTCAAACACTTCCATACCCCAAGGCTACAGATTTGAAATTATTGCTTCTAGATGCCTTAAGGGATGCCTTAAGATTAGCCTAATCTCTATGCCTCATTAAAACGTTTAATGCCTCACAGCAGGTTAGGAGAGAAACTTTAAAACATCCAGAGAAGTGGGGATGTTTTTCTGAGCCAGTCTGAGAGTGCCTGTAAGTTTCAGGCTTTGATTTAGTAATGTCATGATTTTAGATGTCTTTATGTGAACTTTTGTATTCTGATCCTGGTAATAATCACAGATACATCAAGCATGTTTTTCTTAGGGATATTATTCATCCCTCTTTGTGGAATCTGCACATATGTAAAATGTCACTAAATCTTGTTAGGGAGCTTATGGTGTCAGCCCTGAGTTTGGCACCTTTCTAATGAATCAGGCCTGAAATGATTACTGAAGAGCTCTTGCTATGAGGAGGCAAGGGAGCAGAAGTGCACACACAACCAATCTCTCAAAGGGTTGTGCCATTGCTCTTTTTCTACCCCTACCAAGCCTCTTCCAGAGGCTGTTTTGTACTAACGCTGTGTTTCTCTGCTTCCCTTGTTCCAGCCAGCCAAGCCAGGGACCTCTTATCAAAGATGCTGGTCATTGATCCTGCCAAGAGGATATCAGTAGATGAAGCCTTACAGCATCCATACATTAATGTCTGGTACGACCCAGCAGAGGTGGAGGCGGTAAGTGAGGCAGCGCTCCCCGCTTCAGAATGCCAAGCACAAATGGGATTCAGGATTCCTGCTGCTTTACAGCAGCACGATAATGAGCATGCTGGAAAGAAACAATGCTGGGACTGTGTGGTCTGGGGATTGATGTGAAATGAGAGCTGTAGGGACAGGATATCTCTTTTTATTACATTAACTGATAATAGATGGGAGGAACAAAACCACTTCAAGCATATGAAGCCATTTTCTGCTTTCTTCTAGAAAGGATTTTGAATCCACTAGCTCACCTTTTTAGCTATAGAACTCAATCTGGCAAAAGATACTATCTTCTTTCCAAACCTTCCTCTGTGGAAGACAGCAAACATCACTTTTTATGTCCGTGTTCAAGGATATATGTAGAGAGGAGGAGAGTTAAGCAAAAAAATAGTTAGGATTCTGAAAAAAAAAATCCTGAAGTCAGAATTCAGAAAAATCCCAGCAGGACATAATTTTTTAGATAAAATGAAGGAGGGGCTCAGGTGTTTTCCTGGGCTATTGCTCAATGTACACTATCATGTACACTGTGTGCAAACAGAAATGGATTTTTTCTTATAATCCTGTCATGCTCTAGACGCCTCTCTGTAAGCCTTGGTGAGGCTGCTGTTAACAGGGATAAGTGCAATCTGTCAGCACTTCAGTGACATAGGTATGATGAGTACAGGTATAAATTCAGAGAGGTGCTCTGTAATACTCTCTATGAAAACAGGTTCAGAAATCTGATTTTGCCACCACAGGAAATGAAGACCTTGTAAAATTAAATCACTGCTGTTTAGTGATATGCTCCAATTCAGTCTGTGTTCTTGAAAGTGCAGTAAACTTCAAAAATAAATTGAATATTAAAACCCCCATCAAATTTCCAGCACATGAGATTTTTTCAGAGGATGTTATTTAGGAGTACTTCATAGGGCTTCATTTTGCCACTCTCATTTTCAGAGAGGAAGTTAAACTGGAAGACTTTCTTTTCATAATGAACTGTTTATTAAATTATAAATATCCATCTGTTCATGCTGACACACCTTCAGTGGTTAGCTATAAGTCATTTACTAATTATTTTCTGGAGAAAAAAAAAATTATTTGTGAGGTATTGGAGGTTTTCTGTTCTCGCTCAGAAGGGTGTTTTCCAGCAAGTAATCCACTGAAATATCTGCCCTTAGTTGCAGAAGAGTTAGGATCAAATTCAGCAAATATTTCCTAATGCCATGGGCAATGGGGAAATGACTAATCTCATGTATTTTTGTTAGATCTTGCCAAATTTATAGCAGGCTTGGAATTTAGAAGACATCTAAAAACATCCAACAAATTAGCTGTTTGAGAGGTAGATACTTTTGCTTATTCACTTAATAATCTGACTCTGTAAATTTGACTACACTGAACAACACCACAGAAGTTATAACCACAGAAGGGTACAACTGAACAAAGAAAGTAGCATTTGAATGGCATTTCAAAGCCTAAAAATGGCCATGTGGCTCGTTAATGTTGAATTTGCAACATGGTGAGACTCCATGAGGCAACCCTGCTTTTTCACAGAGTGCCTTGCAAATGTGCAGCCAGGAAACTTGACAATAAAGCAATGGGAAAATTAGTGACAGAGTTGAGCTTGGTCACTTGCGTAATGCTTAACTTCCCACTATTTTTCCTGGTTTCCACACTGGGATTTAGAAGCCTGCAGAGTGTTGCATCTGCCCATGTTCATTGCACTCTTTTTCTTTGGTAATACTTGATAAGCAATTTTATGCAGAAGTCTTTCATCGTGTAGCTAAAGAGATGTTTGGGGATTTTTTTAAGTTCTCTTCCCATATTGTGATATGAGACAGGATTCCTCCCACTATCAGTAATCCTGTACAGTAGGGCTAACAGAAATCAGGATAGAGAGGTATTAAACAAGATGACATTTTCAGCCAATATAGTACTGGGGAGTGGGGAATTAGGTAACTTCTGCTGTCTAGTTAGAGTCCTCCTTCTCCTCAGTAAATTAATTCATCAAAAGCAGCCAGGCATCTGTTGTACAGTGTCCATTTCATTCGGGAGCATGAGAGGACAGGTAACTGAAAGCATTTAATGTGACAGGAATTTTGAAGTGAGCTGTTGCAGCATCGTTAAATGTCAGCATGTGCTGGAGTAGACAATGCAGAGCACTGAAGCCAGCTCAGGGAATAAGCAGAGAATTTGGTGTCAAAGTTTAACCTGGAGGTAACAACCCTCTGTGTCTGCTCAGATTTACAGCATTATCAGTGTGAGGGAAACAGATAAAACAGCCCTACCCAGTTAAAAAGCAGACTGGTGAGACAGTTGCAGTCCCTTTTTATAAGTCTATTATACGTTTATGGTCTTTCAGAGACTGTGTAGGGGCAATAAAACTATTATGTCTCGTTCTAATGGGCAAACACTGTGCACAAATGGGAAGTGCTGGGAATGCAATACCCTTTCTCCCACAATGTACCACAGCATTAAACTCTTCTGGGTGGCCCCAAATGCCAAGTGTGATTCTCTGACCCAGAGAGGAAGATGAGCTGTTATTAGATGTGAGACTTGCTATTCACCAGCCACAGGAGGTTACTCAAACACTGCTGTGGCTCTCCCACAGAACTTCTGCATGAAACAAACCACAGCCAAAGCCCTCAACAGCTCTGAAACAGCATCACACTCACAGCTAGAAACAGGCCTTGCACAGCTTTGGAGCTTACCTGTGGATTTGGATTTACAGGAAATTCTTATGTCCAACATAGGTAGCTTGCCAGGTTCTTTTAAGTACATGCAGCTTGCCACAGTATCTCTGATTAAAAAGTCACAGTGTTAGGTTCTCCAGACCATACACCATTGTTCTGAAATTATTTTGAATAGCATCACAGTTAAGATAATTTCTGTATTCAGCCAATGACAACTAAAATATGTGTTTTCAAAAAATAGGAGAATATGCAAAACATGAACAGGAGAACATGTATGGCTTGGGTTGTGTGGAATTCCCAGATGTTGAAATCTGTTGTCAATCTCCACACCTAATTTAAATGCAGGGAAACAAGAGTTCACAGGGCAAAAGTATTATTTACTAATACTGTGCAGGAAATCTACCATAAAATTGGAATAGGAACTTATAGAACTTACTTCTCTGTTTTATTCTTTAGTTCAAGACTCTCTTGGAAGTCTTTTTTTTTTTTCAGAAACTGTCTCAGATCCACTTCTAAACAAATATTATGTTTATTACTTTGATGTTAGGATATTTACCTATATAACAGCATTTGGACTATTATATGAATAAATGACACACACGATACCTATTCTCCCTCCAATTGCTCTGGTTCTATTTTCTGAAAAGAAGAGGTTTCCAATATGTCTTGCCTCTACATGCAGACTATCCTGTTTATTGTAGATAATCTCAGTATCTCCCTGATGACATATTAGCTTCTCTATTTTCCTGTCTGAAAATGCTGTGCTTGAGACTGTTTGCAATTACCCAGCTGCCTCTTTTTTTTTTTTTTTTTGAAGCTGCTCTACATTCTCACCCTTCATTGAGATGATTTGTGAATAAATCCCAAATCTAGCGTTTAACTTTTTATATCTGCTCTAATGTTTATGCCTGTGTGCAGGTCACTGGGTTTTATCCCCAAATGATCGAATTGTGAACAAAATTGATTCCTACACATTGCTTTAGCACAGTAAAGTTCTTCCTTTTGCTATTGGTATATTCAAAGAAACCATTCATGTCGTATTGGATTCCATTTTGGAATCTTTTGAATGTATGTGTGATGTCATATTGATTCCTACTTGGGAAAACTCGTTCCATTCCATGGGAACAAATCCAGTAGCAAAGTTTGCTATAGATTATTATGTGATGTTTCTGTAAATTGGTTTCAAAATTTGTCTTGAACTTTCCTGTACCTGCAGCTATTGTTTGTTATCTGGTTTGTGCCATCCATTAGAAGACAGATTTCTATGAAACAGAAAGATCAGATGTTAGAAATATTCCTTTCAAGCATTCCTCTATGTTTGACAATATTTTACAGCATTGATAGATTTTGTGGGGTTTTATTCACTGTAATTCATACAGCTTTCATTCCTGGTTTGATTTCCATAGGATTTATGTTTCACTGGAGTATTTCTGCATCTAAGACTATCCACAGGAGGCTGGGTTGTGAATTATCATTCATTTTTCTGTGCATGCCAATCTGTGTGTTACCTTCTATTAATGTGATGCTGTTTCCAGTGTTGCTAATGAAAAAAACTTGGTTTATGGTTCTCAGTTTGAGGTCCAGGACAGAAACTGCTGCTGTAGTGTCTTAGCCCTACGTAAACTATCTATGACCAGCTGTTAAATGCAATTTTTAAAACCAGTTTGTCAGAATTAAAAAAAAAAATCACCCACCTCTTCTTTTACCTGTGACTGCTAAACATCCATTATGATGGAGAAGCACTTTGGAGAGCTCAGTGACCTTGGCAAACACACTTCAAAGAAGGTGTCACCTTCACTAGATGGCATAAGCAAGGCTGTCAGGTTGTGCATCATTTCTGCTGTTCTTTTCTCTTGCTCAGCTCTGCATGTATAGATGTTGTATAGAAAGTCTTCAATGAGCTGCCACATTTTTTAGCACTCAGTTACAGGGCTTGGTTTTCTGCTCAGAGATTGATAGTGTGCATCTGTTGTCTCACAAAAGAAGTGTGCAGCTCTGCTTTGTGCACAAGCACAGATACTTCCTCTAGTCAACAACATCTATCCATTCATAGCTGATTGATTACGGAAGCTGAACACGGCTTCTACAAAAATCTTTGTTAATGTCAGTGAGGAGGAGTGGTTAGAGAAGAAAGAGGCATTTCTTTTCTTCTTTTTCTTTTTTTGAACCAAACTTAATCTTTTTCCAGCTTGCTTGTTGTATCTTCAAGCTGTTCAGTCATCTGTGTGTAGCCCAGTAATCTTGACTCCTGCTGCATGGCATCCTTATGGTCCAGCTGTTCAGAAATAGCTCAGTCTACAATTTCGTTGATACACATAATGTGTGGACTTTTCCAAAAGCCTCTGCATAAACTCCAAGGAACAAATAGGCCCAGAGTCACCTCTTCTTCTATATCCACAGCTGAGATCATCCCTAGCCCACTGGGGAATCCCTTGGCAATACAGGATGAAACCCCAAGCACTTTGTAGATAAAGAGATGCCAGACCTCTGGTGACAAGCACACTGGTGTACTTGGGCTTGCACTGCAAAAATAAATGTATGAATGATACCAGTAACACAATTTAGGTGGTTGCAAAGCACCAAGGAATTTTTGTATTCACTTGTTATGAGGATGTAAGCTATTTAACAAAAGGTTTAACCTCACACCATTAATTTTTGCATCCTCCAGTCCCTCTTTTATCTGCATTATCTTGCTAATTCCATCACTGCCTCACTGTGCTGCTCCACAGCTACTGCCCCCAACCCTGCCATTCTGGGAAGAGATGCAGACTCAGGGCTTGCTCTGCCAAGCTTTCTAAAAACAGCTCATCCCAAGGTCTCCACTGTGCTGGCATAGCTCTGCAGAGGCAGGGACAGAGATGGCAGGATTTGCTCGAGTGTGAGCTCCAGACCATTCCCTTTCCTTTCTAGCAGTGGCATACAAACCAACCTGTGTTGCTTTGGGAAAACAAGAATACATAGGTTTCAACGTATGTTTTGGGTTTTTTTCTCTAGTGAAAAGCCTAAAAGCCTCCCCTCTCTGAATATTAGAATTGTATTTAACAAATCCAGAAGTCTCCTGCTGTTTATCTGACAACATAAACCCCCCTTGTCTTTTGTGTATTTTGCTTTTGGGTTTGTTTTTTGATTGGTTTTGCTTATTTGTTTGTTTGGTTTCCTTTTTTATTTTCCAAATTTTTTTTTCAGAAAGAGACCCATGTGGATATTTTCTGTTGGGGTTTTTCTTGAAATTTTTATTATGTCCGATGAATGTTACATTTATTGGAAAATATTTTGAAAATCAACTTGTAAAATGGAAAAGCCAAGACACATTGAAACAACAGGGGGGTATTTTACTATCTACAAGAAAAATATAATTCATTTTTTGCTTCTGCATCCAAAAATAGATTCTATTCTTTGTTATTGTTGCCAATGCAACTGCTTGCAAATCAATCTGTTTTGGGGAGAAAATGGCTGCCTTAAACTGAAGCTAGATGCTGCCACCCATAGGATTGATCCACACCCTGCCTTGATTTGATGCTACTTGAACTCAGTACTTTTTCTGAGACTTACAGAATCGCAGAATCAACTAGGTTGGAAAAGATCTTGGAGATCATCAAGTCCAACCTGCAACACCACTTTATCAACTAAACCATGGCACTGAGTGCCACATCCAGTCCTTTTTTAAACACCTGAAAAAAGTAAACTATGCAACCCTCAGTTGGCATGTGCAGTATGAAGGGTTTATAAGAATGCCTATAACACTGCAGCTGCATCCACATGGAAAGCTAATGCTTATGAACTCAGTAATTTTTTAAGATGTTTGATTTAGGTAGCAAAGTCAATTTTAGGCAAAGCTTTGCACCAAGACTAAAATCAGGTGCCCAGGAGGACGTGGGTATGGCAGCTGCTCTGATTGTTCCATTGCTGAGACACTACTTTTTTATTATCTTTAAAAAACTCCCATCCTCCCTCTAATTTTAGAAACTGGTTTTTAAAAAAGCCACAAAACATACAAGTTAGTAGAAAAGCGGTGGTCAGCATGGAGGGGATTACAATATATTGATAACAGTGTGATAAGCTTTGTGATTCTCCTATGAATTAATGAGAATTGTGGGAAAATAAATTCTCAGAATAGTTTTGTATTCTCAGCTCATCTCTGTGCCTTGAATCAATGAAAAGGTGAGGACTCAGGGAATTTTGATGGGAAATCTTCACTTCTCCCAGTGTGAAGTGCTGGCCTGGGCTCTCAGCAGAGCTCCATTTCACTATGCTCTGCACAGGCTTTAGAGTGGTTACAGACCTGCCTCTGTGAAGAGCAGGGATTTATTCATGCTACTGCCTTGCTGAATATTTGTTACCCTTGGCTCCCTCATGCCTACCGAGAGCCGTGTCTCATAGCTGTGGGCTCTGCAACTCACAAGTAAAAAGTCTGCAATGTCAGCACTGGCAGAGCAGTAGAATGCTGTGCAGGTGCAGCTTCTGCCATCCTGCAGGGTGTGAAGGACAGTTTGGTTGCTCTCCCTTGTTTAACTCCATAAAAAAAAAATAGGATCTTGGTAATGAGTGAGGTTATTCTGGGCTCTCTCCCTGGAAAATGCCTTTGTTTTCAGAGTGTGTTAATCTAGGCAATGATTACTGCTGATTTTCTTGTTGCTTATTAGCCAATTACCTCAGCTTAAGATGTCGCTGAAATAAATTAGAAGAGAAATAAGCCAAAGATTCTGTGGTTGTGTGAATTGAGAGCAGGTGCATCTGATGACTTGTTCCTTTTGATTCTGCAATTTGTGTTTGGGAATAAAAGTAGTGAGGGAATGTATCCTCTTATTTCCGTCTGGGGGAGAAATACAAGTTTTTCTATGGAAAGAGTGTTTATACTTGGTAGAAGCAATTTCACCCCCACCTATGCTTTTTGTAGGCTTCTCCCTGAAGCTTTTAGAAAGCTACTTTCAGGACATTCTTGTGCAACTTGGTTTGCCTGTTCCCTTTGCACCTGGGAGAGAAGAGGTGGCTCAGTCACTGTGGTTCAAACACTTCCCTTGTTGCTCCTGTAAATCCCTACCCCCCCAATTTGCTTGGCTTGGCTGGCTTTCTCTGCTTTTCCCAGTAAGAAATGCATGCTCCAGGGCTGGCTGAGGAGCTGAGCAGGAGCCCAGCATGCTCAGCTGGACGAGTGGAGCTTACCTATCACACCCTACTGGTCAGTGGTAGGATCACCTGTACGCTTGTAGTATCCAGCTCTGACAGCACCGTCAGCAGGAGCACAGAATCCCCACGGAGGTTGTGCCAATCTTGGTGGCATCAGGACTGAGTGGAAATGAATGACAAGGGTGGTGGTGCTGAATAAGAGAACAGCTGCACTGGCCTGGGACTCAGACTCTTACAGGGCTGTGTCTTACCTTGCTGATATAACAAAACCTCAGGTACCCATGCTAGGCCTGGCACTCACTTTAATTCATGATTTGTTTCCTCAGCACTTCTCAGGTATGAGACTTACAGTCTATAACTTCACCTAATCCCCTTATTTCCAGCCCTGATATAAATGACACTCTGGGGAAACTTCCCTTTTTTTCAGTGGTCTTGTCCAGTTCAGCTGTCATGTAATTTTCCTGGTCCATATCATGTCACTGAGCTATTATTTTTCAGTTGTATTTGTAGTGTGCAAATGGCTTAAAGGAGTGATGGACTTAGAGTCCTGAGAGAAAATTTCTAAATTCTTAGTGATTCAAGAAAACAGTTTGGTAAACATGCATTTAATAGGAGGATGTTTTGAAGGGAACACAATGGCAATTGCCCAAGATGGAAGTCAGAGGAAATACATCTGAGCAAGAAAAGTGTTGTGGATCTTGTTTCCATGTTCATTAGGTACTCTTACCTCAGATGCTGGAGCTTCTTGGTAGAAGGAAAGATGGGAGAGTCTTCTGCCTTCCTTGGCTGCTGCATTTGGCAGCCACCATCAGGAGATGCAATGAACATATGGCTTAGTTGCCCAATGAAAGCAGGTGTTCAGGCTTCCTGAAACTCTATGTGCCTTTGTCTCAGTGAATGCCAGGATCTGCCATTTCTCTGACATTCTCATCAACTAAAATAAACACAATAAAAAAAACCCTTTCTGTTCAAAGTAAAGTTAGTTAAAAATACATATATTAGAAATTTGGTAATTTGGAATCTAGATTAGGAGCTGTTGCAGGGAGACTTAGTTAAAAGTCTTGGGAAGTCTGTATAGAAGCAAATGTCAAGAGCAACTTAAAAATTAATATGTTAATGTGACTACTAATTAATCAAGACTGGTATTTGTTTGGTATTCTGACAGTTCCTCTCCACTGCTACAAATAATTTGGGTGTGGAGTTTCTGAGCTCAGTACAAGCACAATGACATTGTTGACCTGGGTTTTATTTCAACTGCAGCTATGCCTCCTTTTTAAGAAAGGAAAACAGAGAAGTATGTTGATTTCTTCTACAAAAAGATTTGTCTTCCAGAAGTGTTAATTCCCTTAATATTCAAATGTGTTTCAGATGGTTTTGCATGTACAGGATGGATTGCAAAGAGAGAGGAGAAATTATCTTTAATTAAGTAATTAGTCCTGATTATTTACAGTATAATAGACAATTGACTAAACAGCTGTGTTTCTTTCCTGCAGCCTCCTCCTCAGATATATGATAAACAGCTGGATGAAAGGGAACATACAATCGAGGAATGGAAAGGTAATTGCAGTTTAGAATTACATGGGAAGGAGTTTTTGGAAAAATGGCAAAAACATAGCAAAAATATGGAAAATGTTATGAGGGCTATCATTATCTACATAGGTTAAAGTTAACACAGGAGGTGTGGATTCCAGTTCTTCACTGAAAACCAAGGGTATGCCTGGAGAGCAAAATACTGGTCTGCAGGGCAATGCATCAGGATTTTAGCCACAGTAAAAGGTGCTGTGATATTGTGCTGCCTCTCTTCTAGCTAGTGCAGCATTAAGCAATTCTCCTGCTCTGGCTGAATCCCATTTGTCCCCATTCAGCTCGGAGAGGAGAGGAGAGGAGAGGAGAGGAGAGGAGAGGAGAGGTCTTAGCTGAGCAGAGCTGGGAGACTTGGGAAGACAAGGCAAGACAGACTTGGGAAGCTCAGGGCTAGAGCAGGTTGTGGTAGTTGTTTTGTTCCTGATCACAGGCACTGGCCTCTGTCAGTAACTGTCAAAATTCTCTTTTCCAGAACTCATCTACAAAGAAGTAATGAATTCTGAAGAAAAGACTAAAAATGGCGTAGTAAAAGGACAGCCTTCTCCTTCAGGTACTCAGCCCCATTGAATAACCTTGGTGTGTGTTCTGTACTGGCAAAGAGAGAATGGAGATTGCTGAAGGGCTTAGGCTACACTTGCAGTTATGTAAGCCAATTAAGAAGTTTTTATGAGATCCAGTGCTTCTAATGGGTTGACCTTTATTAATTGTACTCCAGTGTCATGTTAATAGCATATTTAAAAATTGTCTTCTTGCTATTTGAGAGATAGTTGTGCTGGTATTGTCTGTGGTTACAGACTGTATTCCTCTGAGTGTGGAGGTTTCTCTCACACTAGTATTTTCATACTGCTTATGGGTGGATAACTTAACCAATACTTTGCTAGTTGAGACAAGCAAAATTGGTGATGTAATCTCTTGGACACACAACACTGCACACCTGACCCCCACCCCAGCCCCATGTAGGTGTCTGGTACCAATCTGGTAGTCTATCCTCTCTGAAGTCCAATCACATTAGAACAGCTGGCTGACAACCCTTGATGACACTTCAGTGAGAAGGGAAATTTGTCTTCAACCACGGGCTCTTAAAGTCCTGTCACAAAAAAATCACAACTACATTTTTTTCTGAGTAAAATTCACATCAGCAGTCTTTTCACAGAAATGCAAACTGTTACTGCCAGTACACAGAAATACATATTTGTAAAGGCACAGTTTCACTGGCAAACTTGAAGTGCCCAGATTTTGAGCAGAGTGTTCCAGAAGTATTTATTAGTAAAACTGCCTTTCCTCAAAGTATAACCGTTTAACTCAGTGTTCTCTGCATATTTTCAGAGAGTTTTTTTTTGCACTCTTATTTTTCACTTGCTGCTGAGCCAAGGTAATGTTAGAACAAGAATACATCACTAGTAATTGACAGAACAAGGGGAAACATGGCAATAATGGAGGGAGTTAATAAAGTGCTGGGTGGTGATGCTGGAGCACAAGCCCTGCACCTGGATTTTGGCATGGATGAAGTAATACACTGGAAACAGTCCACTGTGTTCTTGCCAAGTAGCAAAGAACACAACTTGCAGATTTAATTTATCTAACTATGGAGCCACCACTGAAAAGAAATCTGGGGCCCTAAAAATTATCTGATAAGTCCTCATCCTTAAATTTTTCTCCCTTGCAGAATTATGGCTGCAGGTTGATTTGTGATCAAGAAACACTGAAGTTGCTTGTTTCAGGAATTAACTACCCAGGAATTTATTTATCGATTTTATATTCTGGTTTTGCTGTGTGGAAGGTTTTTATTGTTTATGTAAAACATTTTCAGACATACAAAATTGTTATTTTTTTACCTAGCATTTATTCTGCTGTTTCCCTTTGACTGTTTCTTGAATGTTAGGCACCAAAAAGTTCAGAACATATTTAAAACTGCTCTCAGATGAGGCTGTTTCATAAAACAGTAGATTTCCTGTTTTTCTTCACTTTGTGTGCCTGACTTAAATTTTCAGCTGAATAAAATAATGGAAGAAAGAGGTAAACCACCAGTTTTGAGCATAAGGAAAATGAGAGAGACTCTACTCCTTGGTTGGTGTTCTTGGCAAGAATTCAGAAAGCTGAGATTTAATGCTCTATCAATAATCATGGCAAGCAAGCTGGAGCTTAGTTTCCATGATTACTTGATAAGAGTTTTGGGGGAGACTGCTGCAGCTGACAGCACCAGGGATAAGAATTGCTCATTGACAGAGCCACTTAGAGTGCCTGTGTATCAGGATGTCAATCTCTTTTCTGTGAAGGATTAGTTAGTACAACATATCAGCTTGGAAACTCACGTAGCTGCCCTTCATGCTTATGTTCAGTGAACAAAATCAACAGTGTCAAAAATTGTTCCCAGCAGAAGCTACTTCTGCCTGTCCAAAAAAAGTGTTACTGTTGTTATCAAACAGCAACATTTGGGAAAAAAAAAAAAAGTTTAATACAAAGATGTAGATTATTTAGAATTAAACTTAAGTTCTATCCATACCATCTAACCTCCTCTCACATTCTTCCCTAACCTACACTACCCAGCTGTAGTTTCACACATAACATTTTCAACTCTCTTGTCCTTTCTGGGTACAGAGTATAGTAAATAGCAGAGATCGTAGTGCAGCTTATTTTTAGCATTCCCTTTCTAGGTGAAAATGGATCTTTTATTCTTTGTTTCCTGCCTTTTACATGCTGTCTGAATTGCCATCACCCAGGAACTACTGGACACTTTACTAGTAGGATACCTCTTCTGTCATGTGCAGACTCTAAATCAAGCAGCTGATGGACTTGCCAACCACTGAGACAGACACTCGATACCAGGAGCTGCTACTTACACAATTTATGAGACACTGAACAGATCCCCCATACAGACACTGGGCTTTTTTGGAAACTGCAAAAGCTGCAGTTCTCCTTTCAGTTTTTTTACCCCCAAATCTGTATCACTTCATGGTTGAAGTCTCAGAGGCACCTCCATTGGTGCTATTTAATAGCACTTCCCAGGAGCCCTGTCAGGAAGGAATCCCTTCTTTACAGGCACACAAGCTGATGTGTGCTCTAAAAGAGAAGTTGCCAAGGCAATAGCAGAGCCAGGAGCTGATCCCAGGAGCTGTTTCTCACCTGCTCTAACTTTTAGCACTTTTCCTCAATCCTGCAGCCAGTGAGAAGCTTCCTTCCAAACAGCAGCTTCATAAATGGGGCTCTTTTTCTCTTTTGAGTGCACCTCTGTCATATCTGCACTGTCTCACCTGGCACACATCCCTCCAGGAGCAAACTTCTGTAGCACAGCAAATGGAGCATTCCTTCCTGACTGGGACAGCTTTGTTTGAGTGTTACTGCCCAAGTCCTGCTTTGTGCTGCTGAGCTCTTTAATTCTGTCCTTGAGGTTTAGTGTGGTTTCATCTGTTTTTGTGGATACTTTGTGAGTCTGGGTGCTTTGGGGCTGCAGCAGGAGCTGTCACATCTGTGTTGTGTCATGTGGAATTGTACTGAAAGCTAGGAATAGCCATAAAAATGCAATTTCCAGAAGCTCATGGGCTGCACTGACACTTGCTGAGAAGATCATAGCAGGGTTTATTGAATTCAGTGGTGCTGAATCAGACAGAGTGTAACAAAATCTTCAACCAAACAATTTCTGCAGCTATTTCTTCAGTTATTTTGCCTAGCTAAGTTGAGTGCATGTTCATCAAAAAAAAGTAGCACAGCAAAAATTTGGTCAAAAGTTGATTGAACCTACTGGAATTCTTTCCATCTTGTTCTTAGGACAGTATCCATGAATAAATGGCAGGTTTCTGCCCAGCATGGTAAACATAGAAAGATAATATATTGTTTAGTCGTTAATATTAATGAATTCAGTCATATTTTGACTACCCATAAATGCACCTGTCTTGACTGATTAGTATTTTCACAAAATGCCACATGATTAAATAACATGTAAACATGAAGCAACAGTATTGTACTGAATGATGCGGTACACAAAAATAACCCTTTGAAAAACCCATTTTCTGACAGAGAGGATGGATGATTGCTGTCTGCAGTCACCAGTCAGATTCATTAAGATTGCTCTTTTTGCAGCACTTAGAAAATTAACTATTTTATTTTCCAAATGTATCAGAAGAGTAAATTAATTTCATTGGTTCTTATGCCATAATGAACTACTAGAATGGCAGAAAGCAGTTCCCATCTGGAGCTCTAAATGTGAGCATATCTGTCTCTGTTTTGTGCATATTTACAGTGGATGTGTATAAAGGGAAGAAAAAGTTGAGGGATATAGAATAGTGGTTGGAGGTATGGTATGGTGGCTTGTTTTCTCAAATTAATGTTTTTATCTCAAACTAGAAAGTGGCACAAATCCTTTCCTTTTGCTCATAGCTGCATATACTTTGCCTAGGCTGTAGAGATAACTTTTAATCTCTGTATTAGGAATATAGGATTTGTGTAGTTTTACTGGATAATAGATGTTCATTTCTAGCCATTTGGTGGAAATAAATATCTGTAAAAGTTGGCTGAGCACACTTTTCAGAAAGAAGAACAAAATGGCATCTATCTTCAGAACAAAGACCTGTGTCCCCTGCTTGGCTGTAATTTCTAGCTATGCAAGATCATAAAAAATGACACATTTTATTATCATGAATATTTAATGGAAATTGATATATCCCTCTCAAACTGAAGACAGTGCTAATTTTTATATAAAGAGAGCAAAAAAACATCGCCTGGAAGTTCAGTGGAAAAAAGCCCAGCAATTAAACAGGTTTATGCTACTCTGTGAACTTTAGTTTGAGCTGAGGTTAATGAGCAGTAACAGTTAAGCAGTCATAGGTGCATGATAATTACATTCTTTACATGGCTCTGTATTTGTCATTCAGTTGTCTGTATTCAATTGTCTGATAATTTCTGATAATATTCAAGAATGTGATGAATGTTCAGTTGCATTAATGATAATCTCAGGAAAGTTCATTCTTCATTTCATAAAGTCAAAGTGATTTTTTGCATATTGTCTGGTACCAGCATAATTTTGGAGAGGTGAGGTAAACTTGGATGTACAAAAATACAGTCGCAGCTGAAATCCTGGGCTTAGTCCCCTAATCCTTAATGAAGGAAAGAAACCATTCTTCATTTCCACTGGGTGATTTGATCCCACCCACTTTATTAGACTGCCACTAAGAAAACTGGAATTTTATGAGAAGAACATGGAGGAATAGGTGAGGTCTGTTTTTGTTTTGGTCACACATTGTGTGATCCTGACATGCCCCTGACTGTTGGGTGTTTTTAAGCTCCAAACGGGCTAGAACGAAGTGGGGTGACAAACACTGTACGAGCTATAACTTTTCAAAGCAGACTGGTGAGGGACAGAATTTCCTAGTAAGATACTTAATATTATCCAATGTCTAAAGTTTGTATGGCCCATTTCCTGCTGAAGTTTGCCACTAGATAAAATGGTCTGCGTACCACCAGGTGAGCACCCTCTGCTCTTTAACACGTGGCACCTCCTGGGGTTTCAGGTTTAATCACGTTGGTGTTCATTTTCGTAGCACAGGTGCAGCAGTGAACAGCAGTGAGAGCCTCCCTCCATCCTCATCTGTCAACGACATCTCATCCATGTCCACGGATCAAACCCTGGCGTCTGACACGGACAGCAGCCTGGAAGCTTCTGCGGGACCCCTCGGTTGTTGCAGGTGACTAGCCGCCTGCCTGCGAAACCCAGCGTTCTTCAGAGGATGATGGAACCTAGGAGGAAAAAATGATGGGAGCTAAGAGATGAAAAGAAAGAGAAATAAAATACAGAGATTTAAGTGAAACAAACAAAGAAACAAACAAAAAAAAATCTTTTCAGCCTGCTTCTCCTACAGAGTTATGTAATGCAGCTAAGCTCAAGTGTGTATTTAACTTATAGTTGCTCTGCTTTGGTCTTCTTCCAGTGATGCTTACTGGGGGGCAAAAGGAAAAAAGGAACTGAAAAAATCCTTTTTTTGCCCCCCTCCCCACAAGATGTAAAATGAATGGCTGCAAAACCAGCAACCTGCAACTGTCTTTTTCACACTGGCATGACAAGGTGTGCAGTAGCCATGCTCCGCCATACGAGTGTGTGTCTGCCCTCACTGTCCGTTCTGCCGTCTGCCCAGTGAGGCAGGCAGGGATCTCCATGCATTTTTTCCTCACACACATACACACATGTGCCAACAGAATCCTGGCAGTGCATGCAGCTGTGTGTCTGCACATCTGCCCAGGCACTTAGTGTGCACTTCATGATAATAAATGGCCCATTCCAGGGGAACTGCTTAACTACACATGGGATTTTACAGTACATATTCTGTTTGCTCCTTGATGAGGTTACATATGAGGACTTGTGGAAGTGTAAATAACCACACAGAACTGTGGCTCCCTCAGACACTTGAAGATGTAGCACCAGATTTCTGCTGAGAGTTGTATATATATTTTGAAATAATAACCAGTTTTGTTGAAAGAAGAAGCCACAGAGCTTCAGAGAAAAAAATGCTAGTTTGCAAATGTTAAGACTTGTTGTTCTGATTTTTAGACCAGATATGCCAAGATAAGACTGGGTTAGAAGGAAGCACATGTATCTTTGCAAGTTACAGGGAACAAGAATGAAGGGGTTTTATGCATGTCCAAGCCCAGAAAGGTATCAGTAAGCAACTTTTTCTGTCAATGTTAAGTGAGTTATCATCTTAGGGCATAGATAGGCTCGCTATTTTGAAGTACTTGTATGTTTGTAAATTAAAGGGTGTGACAGGGTTGGGGAATAAGCAGACTATGATCAAAAGGACATACACCAACTTGTTTTTATTTTATGTCTAGATCTTTATTAGGTTAGCTAGAGAAAGGATATTTGCAGCCCACTCCCTCTCAGTGTGTGTTTGCAGCTCAGAGGTTGTTTTCCCTTTCCATCATTCCCTTGCAGGCACTTCTGCTACTCAGAGAACAGGCATTCTCTGGTGCTTTTGGCTCTTCATTTCCTCATGACAAAAAAGTGGACTCCCCAGGAAGTTTTAGCATCTGTGTTACACAAAAAAGAAGCACACAGTGCATGAGTCTAGTTTTCCTACATTCTAACAGCCAAAGTTATCAATCAGCTCGTGGGCTGGCCTGGAAGGGTCGCAGCCAGGGGTCTTGGGCAGTTTGGACAAGTTCTGAAGAACCCAACAGTGACTGAATACCAAATTAAATTTGCCAGGTAATAAAGCAGAGGATTTCCCGTGGTAAGTAACAGCAAGTGCTTTTAGTAGAGAATGACAAAATTCCACACAGAATTTCAGAACCATTGAATATTTTTTCCAGCCAAAACAGCAATTGGCATTTTCCACTGCAAGGTCATAATTTTCTGAGTTGGAAATTAACTAAAATCCAAGTCATCTGTCCTTTTACCAGAGTGTGCCATGTAAACAGAAATGAGCTAAATCCTACTCTAATGCTTTTCCAAATGCCAGAGAGAGAAACTGTTTAGACTATGTTAGTGGATATTTTAAATTCACTAATTCATTCGTTTTCAAAACTCTACCAAAATAGGACTGTTCCATTGGGTGGCTTACAAACCTGCCATTCTGTGGTAGGAAAAAAAATTAGTATCAAGTCAGTTTTTTTCAAAAGGAAGAAAGGGAAGAAAAAAAAATCTCTCCAGGGTGGGGAGGAGGGGAGATAAAAATGAAGAGGATATAAAATAAAATCAGACTTGTTAGTTCTGAGCTGTATTACAATTGCTGTGAGAAGTGGGGGTCTTTTCCTGGTTATATTTTTGGTAGATTTTTATCAAAAAAATTTTTTGTGAGTAAAATTAGGTTGTTAATGTTCTAAAAACTCAGAGCAGTAATTTTAAAAGCAATAATTTACTACTGCTAAATATATTTAGCAATATTCTCAAGCCATGAAACATCAGGTCATTGAGTGATGTTACTCTCACTCCAAAGACAATGATCATAAAAGTATTGAAAGGTTAGCAGCAAAGCTCTGTAGGTATGTAGGCAATAACACCTAGGGTGACTTCTTAGCAATAATTAAATATATCACCTCCAGATTTAATTCACCATAGATACATATTAATAATATTCAGGTAACTAGTATCTACTTTACATTCCTTAGTGTGCACCATTTGGGTGTGTTATTTAAGCAAAGCTAAACTAAGTCTCATCCAGGCAAAACTGCAAAAATATCACCAGTGTAGACTGTAGAAACTTGGAGTAATCCCAGTTCATTGCCAATGAAGTTATGGAGATGTGGCATAGGCAGTAGCAGAGAAGCCATTTATAGTAAATAAATGGAGGACTTGTACATAAAGAGGATTTGTAGACCTCCCACGTTTCATCTCTTGAAGGCAAATCTGTGCTCTTAGTCCCGTGGTATAATTCAGTCCTGTTTGGGTTCTTGAGTGCAGGGCAGAGAAGCAGTCACCAGAGCAGGTGTCCTTAGGTCAGAGCTGAATGGACTTACAACACAGGAGTTACTTAATCAGCTTTATCCCCTGATTCTGCTAAGCACCAGGGCTTGTTCAGACATCTCATGGATTCTGTAGGATGCTTACAAAAAATTAACTAACATGTGCTTTTGTCTTTTGCTCAGCAGTGATCGACATCAGCATGTGCTTAAGTGCCTTGCTGAAATGGGGCCTGAAAGAATTACTGCATCTCTTTTTGTCCTCAAATCAGTCTCCTTCATGAGAAGCTCTGACTGGGGGAGGAGACTTGGAGCTGTCCACATTGGACACTAGAAAAGAAAGCCATCAATGAAAGAAAGCATTAGTTCTTTAAAGTTCTGGTCCTTGTATGTCCAAACTCAAGTAGCAGGAATAGCATCCTTCATTATGCTTTGTGCCCAGAATTCGGTGCTGTCAGCTGATACCTTACACATGTACTCTTGTATTTTCTGGAACCCCAAAGAAGAAAGGAAATTATGAATCTGACTCCATGTTCTTAGAAGGCTAATTTATTATTTTATTATTATATTAAAGAATGCTATACTAAAACTATAGAAAACTATCCTAAAGAGTACAGAGAGGATACAGACAGAAGGCTGAAAGACACTACTGAAAAACTCATTACTCTCTCTTCAGAGTTTGAAACAGCTTGGCCCCTGATTGGCCAATAAGTAAAAACAATTCACATATTGGATAAACAATCTCCAAACCACATTCCAAAGCAGCAAAACACAGGAGAAGAAAATGAGATAATTATTGTTTTCCTTTTTCTCTGAGGCTTCTCAGTTTCCCAGGAGAGAAATCCTGGGCAAGGGATTTTTCCAGAAAATATGACAGTGACAATGTAGTCTTGAATAAAGGATACTAATGATGATGTTCTGAGGATGTTTTGAGGGAAAGCACTTTTTTTTTCTGATTCTAGAAGTTTTGATATCATCCTGTTAAAGTCTGTTCCCCATTATTCCAAAATTTTATTCAGCTTGATAATGATAGATGGTTTCCTTAATTTTGCCATTGATCTTTTAAACCTACTTCTGCTTAACACGTTACTAAATAGAGTACTTTGGCAACAATTTTCACTTAATTCTCTGAGGTTTGCAGTTGTAAGCACCATTGCCACCAGTGCAGAAGTGAAGGAAATTGGGAAAACAAAGATCTGTGACAGATGTTCCAAGGTATTTAGGCATCATAGGGGGCAATCAGTGAGCCTGTGCCAGAAGTGGCATAACTTACATCATCCTGAATGGCAGCTGGACGCCTTGGCATTTCTGAAAATATGCCTCAGAGCCTCTTGGTGTCATAATTACCTCAATACCCGAGGAAATTCTGTCCCAAGTGGCTCACCTAAGTCATGTATGTAGGCATCAGCAGGGTGACGAGAATGGCATGAGCTTTATCTGTCAGTGACTGCTCAGAGCACTAGCTGCATCGAGATGGTAGAGAGGAAAATTGCTGCAAAACAACCCTGCTTTTTTTTTCAGATGAAGAACTTTGGGATAGTATGAGGAAAAAAAAAAAGAGAAAGAAGTCAGAACAGTTTTTAAAAGACCATCCCACCATTTTCTTTCTCACTGCTGAGTTTAAACAAGGATGAGGCATTGATTTATTACAAGTTGATGTAAGGTTATTATGTTTTCAATCCAAAAGTTTTTGGTAATTTTTGAAAACAGTCTTCAGATACTGACTTGATAGCTGCAATAGTATTTTGTGAGCTTTGACTGTATTCCATTACAATATATCTTCCGAGAGTTCAGATATTTGAGTTGATCACTGTGATTTATGCGACTTGTATTGGGTTAATGTTCCCCCCTCCTATCTAGGATTCCATGGCACAAATACATTCATGAATCATAGCAAGTTTGCATTACATAAAACAGACTGAAATTGGAGTGCAAGTATGGCAGTGTGTCAAAAAACCCACTAAAAGCCCTACAAAAAAACTCAAACAACAAAGCTACAGAAAGCCTGATCGGGTTTTCTAAGCCCTAATGCACTGCTGGTTTTCCTCTGGAAATCACCAGTTCCTGCACACATTGGCTTCTGAAGGTTACACGAGACAGATGATCATGTCACTATGTCACTCTTCCAAATTTATAAGCAATTTGGTTCAAATACATTCCTTTATCTTCATAGATATTGCTTTACTTTCTAATTCTGGGATAACAATACTGAAGAAATTAGACCTGATGCAGTGCCTTTAGGGAATTTCCCAAAGTAGTACTACTTAACTGATTTGGATTGTATTCTAAATTTG